TAATTATCACTCTGCTATTTAGTTATGTTTTTATTGACAAAAGCACTCATGCTTGCAAAATATCCTTGAGTCATATCCTTATTAGTAGAACACATGAATAAACGCTTTCACAGTAAATAAAAAAAAAAAAAAATTTTTTTTATTTTGCTGACTCAGCTCTTGACTTCTTCCTATCAGTGATATTTTTTCTCTTTTTAAATTTAATTAAATTTTTTGTTTTTTGGTATAGGGTTTTGCTATGCAGTTTTGACTTGTAGTGATCCTCCTGTTTCAGTCTTCCTAGGGCTGGAATTATAGGCATGCACCACTACGCTTAGTTCTGGGGCCCCAGGGCAGACATGGTGTGCACTACCAGGGATCAAACTTGGGCCCTTCCACTTGCCAGCCAGGCACTTATGCCCTGGAGCCATCTTCCCAGCCCCACAGTGTTCCTTCTAAGGACAGATCTTATTATTTTATCCTTTTAAAAAATATCATTCTATTGTATTTTTAAAATCCAACCTAAGGGTAAAGTTTCAGCTCTACAGTACAGCACTGAAGGGCCCCCATGATCTGGCTTTCATCAGTTCCTCTAGTCCTACATCCTGTTTTATCCTTCCATGTATCTTATACTCCAACCTCTATGCTGCCTGCTTTCCAGTCTTCTGAGTGTCTTGCTCTACCTTCTTCCCTTCCCTTCCATTTTTCCTTCCTTCCAACTGTCCTGCCAAGATAGGGTCTTCCTATATAGTCCAGGCTGGCCTTGAACTCACTATGTGGCCCAGGCTGGTGATCCTCCGGTCTTAGCTTCTAGAATTCTGGTCACAGGCATGAGCTACACACTTGACTCATGTGCTTTCTTATTGACCTATCTTTGTTCATCTCTTTTATTCTCTATCTCCTGAAAATTTTTAAATGTTTCATTCAGATGCCTTCCTTGCAAACATTCTCTGATCCCTGAATAGAATTCATCATTTCTTTCTTTAAGCCTCAGTAGCTCTGGCTTGTAAACTACATCAACTTAGCTTATGATTCCCTGAATATAAGGACTCAGTTTGAGGCTCCCCAAGTTCCCAGCACAGGGACTGTCCCAGGTAAATGATGACTGACTGTGTGATTTACTGAGTTCATGCATTTCATTGTGATGTTCCTACTTGCCATTGCCTATGTCAGGAAAGGCATATTTCTTGCCAGCCAAGAGGAGGAATAGATGAGAAGCAGTATCCTGTATAGTACTAGATGGCAGGGGCCCCCAAAGGCCTTGTGTGAAATGTGGGCCAATCCTTGGGGGCTGCAGTATTATTTGGATTCTTCCCTTAACTTCTGCAATCATAGAGGCACTCATATTTATCACAGTCAGAACTATCGTCTTTTCTTGGGAGAGAGACTTCATAGTTAATAATCATTGTTAACTTTGGTTGTTGACAATTGTACCTACACGAAGAAGGACTTTGGAACCAGATAGTGAATTATGGATGTTTGGCTGGTAGGGGAGTCCTGAAAGTGGAGTTTAGAGAGAAGAATAACATTCAGTCTAAGGGCAGTCTTCTGGGAAAGGAGAGTACCCCGCCACTCTTGGGGCAAAATACCTTTGAGAAAGAACAGTCCCTAGACTTAGGAGAGAGATATAGCCTTGCTGATCAAGAGTATGTGAGATGTATATATATATATAGCCACACACTCCCTTATGTATAAGTGCTGGAGGGAGGAAAGGCTTAGATAATAAAGCTTGAGGGATGGGAAGCACTGGATAAAGACTCCCTGACAGAAGAAGGTGTGGAGCCTTGTTGAATGGGAATGACATGTTCAGAGACAAGAATGCAAGCTGTCTTTGTATGTTTTCCTATAGTATAGATTAAGAATCCTTGAGAGGAAAGAAAGGGAGCATTTCTCATCACCAATTAAATGCCAAGAACATTGTGACGTGGTTTCCGAAGGCAGGGCAGTTGAGGTATCTGTGCCACCTCTCCCCAGAGCAGGTAAATCTCAAGCCAGACTTCATGCTCCTCCTACTCTCTGTCCTGGGCCCAACTGTTCTCTTCTCCAGGGTCAGCTGCAGTCATCAAGCTTTCTCTGCCTTCTCAGCCATCCCTTGCCAGCAGGATTTCCCCTAAAGAGTTATGAATAACTAAAGTGTTAGGATATTTAAGAGGTCAAATGAGCCAGCCAGCATGTGGTTCTAGATAGATGCGAGTTAAGCCACCTTCCTTAAAGGATGTACTGAAAGGGAGGGGTTGTTTTGTTTTTATTCTCTCTCTCTCTCTCTCTCTCTCTCTCTCTCTCTCTCTCTCTCTCTCTCCCTCCCTCCCTCCCTCCCTCCCTCCCTCCCCCCTCTCATATTTATTTTTGGTGGTGCTAATGTGAATGAACTGAGAGCATCATACACGCTAGGCAAGGGCTCTACCAATGAGTTTCAGGGACTTACAGCCCGAAGGGAAGTTCTGTCAAATCTCTTTAATGGTGCCACACAGTCCTACTTAGATTGGGATGGAGGCAAAAGGAGCTCTAAGCTGGTCATCAGAGAATAGGACTATTTTGTCTATACCTCCAGAATTCTCTGTGATTATGGGCAAGCTACTTATTCCTCTGGGCTTTAATTTCTCTGTGCATAAAACAGAATGCATTAGATTAAATAATACCTAAGGCCCATTTTGCCTAAAGTTCAGTGACTCACAATATCCAAAGAAAAGAGAGTTAATATGAGTTACAATGGTAAGGGAAAACTTTATTCCATACTTGTTTACTTACTTACTTTTTTATTTTTTATTTTTGCAGGACTGGAGATTGAACTCAGAACCTTTTTGTGAAGCTATAGCTTCAGTCCTTTCAATTTTTTTATTTTGAGGCAGTGTCTCACTAGGTCACTAAGTTGCCCAGGCTGGGCCTAAAGTTGTACTTCTCCTGCTTCAGCCTCCTAAGTGCTAAGATTATAGGCATGATGACTTAGGGAGAGCTGTCACCAGTGCTTACATGTAGCTGTGAGTAAAACAGATGTAGTCTTTGTCTTCACTGAGGCTGAGGTCTGCTGTAGAAAACAGACAAATAAGTAGTAAGAATAATCTGTGACAATGACATCTAGCTGGGGTCTGATGGGTGGGGAGGTCACTCAAGCTCCAGGTAACAGAATTCATCCTTTCTCTCTTTCTTCTTGCCAGCAGAGAATCCTGCAGTTTCTCTCATCTAATTTTTGTTGCTATGGAGACTACCAACAGGACTGAAACCTGGTATGAAAGCCTGCATGCTGTGTTAAAGGCTCTAAATGCCACACTTCACAATAATTTGCTCTGCCGGCCAGGACCCCAGCTAGGACCAGAGCAAGTCAACCAGACTGAGGAGCAGCGGGCCAGCCTCCCTGGCCGTGATGACAACTCCTACATGTATATTCTCTTTGTCATGTTCCTGTTTGCCATCACTGTGGGCAGCCTCATCCTGGGATACACTCGCTCCCGAAAAGTGGACAAGCGTAGTGACCCTTATCATGTGTACATCAAGAACCGTGTGTCTATGATCTGACTCAAGGTGGTCAGGGATGGTAGATGATCAAGACACTGGAAGATTGGCAGCTGGGGCTTCCAGAACTCTACTATGGATCACATCAGACCTCAGATTCTTTAAAATCAACAAGAAACAGTGCTAAGGGAGATCAGACCTGGACCTTGTGGATAAGACTTTTTACAGGCAAAGACAGATTTTATAAACAGTGGGAGCTCATGAACAAATATATAGAAGTATGAAAAGATAATGAACAATGACTGGTCCAGTGTCTGTGGTACTGGTAGCTGGGGGTTAAACAAGAAAAGAGGAAGTAGTAGCAGAGGGAAATGAAACAAGAAGAAGCTCTGGGGACACTTTTTTTAATTTCAGCAATGAGGACATTATCTTGTATCACAGATAGGAAATCTGAATAATGTTATTTATTTATATTAATTCACATTTTAAAAACATATTTCACAATTGTGATTTTATTTTCCCTGCACAGAAAGTAGAGGGCGAATGCCAGGGGATGCATTTGGGCCAGGGTGGTGCCATGGTTGGAGCTCAAGGGCTCTGATCTCCTTGCCTTGAGCTGTTCAAAACTCAGTGCCACACAGGCATGAATCCAGATCTGAAGCCTATACTATTCTATGGATTTTTTTAAAGAAAAAAATCATAATTATCTTGATTTTTCAAGTATTACAAAAATGTATCACGACTTAAAATGTGCCTAGGGCCCTTCTTTGCACTTAAGGAGTCCATACAAGTGCAGGCCCTGAATGTTAATTCTTGCTAACTCCGTGGCTGGTGTGTCTCTGGAGATGTTTGCCCTTCTCAGCTGCATTGGCAGTCATGAGGTTTTCATTACCTCTAGGGCAGCTTTTTTACTTTGAATTCTGTGAGGAGCTGAAATCTGCTTCGAGATTATGATCAGATCTAGGCAATTATTACGTTGAAAGATGCAGAGTGTGATAGGCAAGATACATGGTTCAGTAGGAGAACCAGGCCTGACTCTGGCAGTAATATGCTATATAACCTCTGGTGAAGCACTTTTCTCTGGTCCTTTTTCTTAAATACACAATTAAATAGACTTGAAAGTCTTTGAGAGAGTCTGTCAGTTCTGATATTCATATACATTAGCTTGAACCATATAAAATGACTTTGTTTGTAGGTCAAAGATAATGAAATAGTTTCATGTAGTTCAACCGAATTCATGCAATGTGGGAATGAATTCTTTACAGATTTTTTCCCCCCAAATCCTAGACTGGAACCACCTACTGTTTAGTTTGTCTGATTTCATTTTAAAAGATCTGTATGCTGTCCCCAGCAGGCTCCATTGTAACATATGCATTTGTATATAGCAAAATGCTGAAAGAATATTTTATAGCAGTTATCTTTGTGAAACAGGGTTATGTGTGATTTTTTTTCTTTCTACTTTATGTGTATATGTAACATTTAACTTACCTGACTATAAGTATATGACTTGTATAATGGGGGAAATCTACTTCCACTTTGAAAACAAAACAAGACATCGCTGTGTTTCTAGAGTGGAGGCTCACAGAATGCCTTCTCCCCTAACAAGCAGTTCTGTACAGTGCTGGACAATCTGTGGCTAGCTCCATGTATGCTTCTTCTTTATGAGGGAGAAAGTGGAGACCTCCTTAAAGAGATATGAAATACTGGTAAGAACAGATTTTTGGTTCTGGTTTAATGAGATGGGGTCTTGCTATGTAGTTCAGGCTGGCCTTGAACACATGATGTAGCCCAGGCTGGCCTCAAACTCATGGTTATCCTCCTGCTTCAGCTTCCTGGGTGCTGGGATTAAAGGTGTGCACCACCATGCTCAGCATGAGACAGATTTTTTTGGGGGGTGGGGGGAGGGTACCAGGGATCAAATTTTGGACTTTGTGCTTGCAAGGCAGGCACTTATGCCACTGAGCTATCTTCCCGGCGCAGGAAAGAGATTTTTTTTTTTTTTTTTTTTTTTTTTTTTTAGAACCAGGGCTTGATTTCAGGCCCTTGCACTTGCCAGGCAAGTGCTTATTCTACTGAGCTATCTCCCTGGCCCCCAGGAAAGAGATTTTTGAAGTTAATATTTCAAGGGATTGTAAGACTGCCCATCTCCAAATCCCAAATAAACTATGAAGTGCAACTAGATGTAAGAATGAATGGTCCAGTGATGAATGTTGCAAGGGATTTGAGAAATGAGTGTATCTCATTACTTTAAGTTTCACTAAATAAAATGTTAGGATCTTAAGGAGACATATCTAAACATTCTAATATGCTCTGGCATAGGCACACCCCCCACCCCTCCCTCAAATCTGTGTCCTCCTGTTGTTGGAGCTTTTCCCACTGTCCATCAAATCTTTGTACACGTTCTGCCCTCTGCTGGCCGCATCCTAGCATGTCGCCTTAAGCCCCAGGCAAAACTTCAACTAGACATTTGGGTGCACTCTCTGTGCCAAGCATTCACGTAGACACACTTGGAATATGTACATAAACAAAATAAAAGAAGAATCCCTTACCCTAATACTAGAGAGCATTTGCTATGTGGCTAAGCTCAGGTCTAAACATTTTACATTATTAACTCATTTAGTTCAAAAAACTCTCATAAAGACCCTATATAGCAAGTATTTCTTACAGTTACTTCAAAAGAGTACAGTTGTTTTCTCTCTAGTTGCAAGTTTTTTTTTATTTTAGCTTTTTAATAGATTGCAAATTGAAAATAAATTATTTACAAACATAAATGCATATAACAATAAAAATTGTCCAAAATAAAAATGAAGAAAAATTTACAGATC